GTGGAGTACATCAATCAATTGTTGTTTGACCATGCATCAAAATATTATACAGCCAGGAAGAGAGAATGAACACCTCCCCTACACAAAATACCATGGGTAAGTTCGGAAGAAAACAGATACAACCAGGTTGATACCTTCAGAGAAAATGAAACAGTGGCAAGAAGAGACTAATGGATACCTGGGTATCAGCCGTGAGTGGGAACAAGCACACAATGGGGCTTGTGGGCACTGTTCACACAGGTGTGTTCCGTTTGTGAAGTCACCTGGTCAGTTACAGTACAGGCACTTCTCTGGATGCATCCTATATTTAAAGTAGTTTTCTCTTTACTCGGGCGTTGTGTTCAAGTTCCAGCTCTGTGGCTGCACATGTGTGATCCCAGGTGTGGGAAACGCTAAGCTACTGCTGTGCTCTGCAGGACAGAGGCAATGGTACCATTGGATGACCAGAGAGACAGCCAGGGGACCCCATATTTCTGCTCATGTCCCCAAGTGTTAACATTGTTACACACTCTGCAACATTCCTCTAAATCAACTCAGTGGATTTACATGATTAAAACTTTCTCTCTCAATAAACAACAACAAAGCAAAACAAAACAAAACAAAAACCTGTCTCTTTGGGAGATCTGTAGTCCAGGTTGGCCTCAGACTTAATACATAGCCAAGAATGACCTCCCACTCTTAATCCTCCTGGCTCACTTCTCAAGTGCACAAATTATAGGTACATGGGACCTTGCCTGACTTAAAAACAAAACATGCTATCACTCACATAAATCATGGTTTTGGTATGTTAATTTTCAGTATTGAATAAGGGCAAACTAAAACAAAGTCATAAGCACTAAGATTAAAATGTCTACCTATAAGCCACCTCAAGCCCTCTTGGAACCCCTAACACCATGCAAGCCACTGTAACTGCCATAGTCACCAACACCATCCTCATTGGCATCATCATTACCAGAATCAGCACCATTTTCAACATATCATCCTCCCGACACTATCACCACCTCTGACGTTGTCCCCACCACCGTCATCACGATTATCACACATGCAAAGCCAATAGATAAGTATTTCTGCATCATCCTTAATGGCCAGCCAGGCGTGACCCTGTACTGCACAGAGATTAAAGAGTCAGTAGCACAGAGCCTCCCAGAGCACAGGATTGGTTACTGGCAAGTGTGCACACCTAGGTGAGGGCTCTGAGCAGAAGGGGGACTGTAGAGTCCCACTCTCCATGCCACACTGAGGCCAAGGCAGAGGCTCCTCTCAGATTTCACTCTATTCGTTGCTCACAGACTACATCCCGGACCTTCAGAGGAGGACGATGACCAGAGAGAACCGCAGTCTTCCAGGGCGAGCTCAGACACTCAGCACATCACAAAAAGTGTCTGTCTCTCCTCCCTTCCTCCCTTCCTCCCTTCCTCCCTACCTCCCTTTCTTCCTTCCTTCCTTCCTTCCTTCCCTCCTTCCTTCCTTAACCCATTTTTTCTCTTCCACTTTTCACTATGCTGTCCAGGCTAGCCCTAGACTTATTCTGTCTGTAGTCCAGACAAACCTTGAATTTGTGATCCTCTTGGCTCAGCCCCCTGAGTAGCTGGGATTGCCGGCCTGTGTCATCAGGTTGGTGACAGTCATTCCCAGATAGACCCCTTCCACACTGTCCTTGGGTGCCCAGGTTGCCCTGCAATGATCACAACAGTGGCCACAATCCTACTCAGGTCACCCTTTTTAAGTAAGCCTAGTAGATCATCATTCATATCACATATAAAAAAATTTGCTCTTTAAAATCATCAGAACCTTTGACTTAAATAATATCGTTTAAGGGAAATAAATATCTTTTGAAAAAATTATTGTGAAAAATAGCGCAGTTATTTTAAACACAAAATAATAAACACAAATGTCCAATAATAAGAATTAGTTGTTCTATGTCAGGGCTGTGTATCAGGTACTATACGGACATTTATTGAAGAACCATAAATGGGCTGGAGATAAAGCTAGGTGACAGGGTATGTGAAGAATTCTGTATGTGTGTGCACATGCACAAAGATTCAAAAGACAGTTCATCAGGTAAAAATCACTGTGACTCAGACTTGATTACCTGAACTCTATACCTAGAGCCTACATAAAAAGCCAAAATCAGATGGAGCGGTGCATATCTGTAGTTCCAGCGCTCTAGGGGGTTGGGGGGGGATGGAGACCTGAGAATCGCTGGCAGCTTGCTAGGCCTGCTAGCCTTTAATATGCAGTGCAGTAGCAACAAGACAGACCCTGCCAGCTTGGCATGCTTGGTACAAACCTGTAATCTCAGCACTCTGGAGGCAGAGGGGAGTGGATCTCTGTGCGGCTGAGGCCAGCCAGGGCGACACAGTGAAGACTGACCCTGTCTCAATAATAAAAATGAGAGACTCTTCCTCAACAAAGGCGAAAGTGAGAACTGACTCTCGAGTTATCCTCTGGCCTGCACACTGATGCTGAGGCATGCCTCCACATACACACACACACAAACAAACAAAGAAACAAATGTTAACCAGAAAGAAAGCAGGTTCAAAGGTCAAATAACGGCTGAACTATAGCTCAGGAGAGTGTTTGCCCAGCATACGCGAGTTCCTGCATGCATCCCAAGTACTGGGAAAAATATGTGCTTATATATACTTGCATATGTGTGTGTTCATCTGTATGTGTGTAATACAAATATAAAAGATTATATTATATATCATTTATATATGCTACTGGCTTTGAAACTTAATGTAATTATTGTAATTAGGAACAGAAAAACGAGAAACTTAAACTTAAATGAGGCCTACTATGGTCACATTAGTTATGCCCGGATGGTAGGACCGTGGGCAGTTTCGCTTACTTTTTTTCTTTGTGTTCCACTGTTTGCTGACTTTTCTCAGTCAGCACGAGTTATTCTTATTAGCAAGGAAAACCACACTGTAAAGGTCTCAAATCTTTTGGACAATTACACAAACATGCTGGACTATTTTCATTAAGAGGTTTTCTGCAGATCCCTTGTAAATTGATTCATAGAAAATACATATGCATGCTTTTGAAAATAATTAAACAGTGCAGGCATCATCCATAAAAGCAAAAGCCTACCCATGCTCATGCTTGCTTCCATATCGGTCAAGCCTACCCCACTATAAATACATCATCCTTAATTCAAAATTCTGCAAAATCCTTCATGTGGGTACAGAAACCCTGTCTAACTGTCCATTTCCTGCATATTTTATTCAAATAGATGACAGTGTGTGCAAACTGTTATGAAGTTTGGTCACCTCAGGATGTTTTGTCCTTTTATCTTTTCCAGTGCTGGGGGTGGGGCAGGGATCACTTACCTCCCTCGTGCTAGGCAAGTGCTCTACCACTGACCAGCATCTCCCTGCCCTCATCTCAGCTTCTATTTTTGAGACGAAGTCTCACTAATTGCGTCCTCCTGACTCAGCCTCCTGAACAGCTGGGATAACATCAGGCCGCTGTGTCCTCTTCTGATGAAGTGAAATCCCTCCTGCTCTTTCCCTTCCCCCTGAAATACCCTTACACAGGACCCTACCTCCCACCCAGGAGGTCTCTCTGAGCCTCCTATTGCTTAAGAACTGGTAACTATTTTTAAGTGACAGGCTTTATTGTATATGTTTGAGTGTGTGTACACGCACACGCTTGTGTCATCGTGTAGGCAAGGAGGTCAGAGAACGACACGCAGAAGGAATCACTTGCCTCCTTGTACCACGTGGGTTTCTGAGATGGAACTCGGGTGTCAGGCATGGTGGTTAGGGTGTTTACCCGCTAAGCCATCTCGCTGGCCCTGTGAGTGAGCTTTCTAAAGAATACTGTGCTGTCAGCATCTGGTCCTCTTAAGAAAGTTTCACAGATTGCTCAGGTGCTGACACTGTCTTCATGAGGTCACAGACTGAGAAATCTCAGTGACCATCTGGGGAAGGTCCTTTATGTCACAGGGAGACTGGGATCCAGGGGGAGAGCCTCCACCTCAGACACAGCCAGTAAGGGCTGAGCCAGGACTCATGTCCTAACTTTAACTCTATACCTGTCTCACCTGTCCCACACTGTGAAAGCTGTCATTGGAAGTCCACAAGCATGGATTCTAGAACCTTCCCTCTGAGCCAGGGGCGTGTCACACAAGGGGGATTTAGCTAATTTGCTTCATTAAGTGACTCAGTTTCACCACGTATGTGAGCAACTGGTACTGTCCCAATGGAGGCAGAAGGAACCTGCTGAGCAGCCCCAGCCCCTCTATGGCCCAGGGAAAGCACCCTCTTCCAGACTCTGATCCTCCCAAGAGTTCAAGCTGATGCCCTCCCACCAGCAAGAACAAAATCCTTTAGGGCCCGAAACAGAGAAAGCCCCTCCCCTGAGAGGACCTGGCACCATCCCCACACCATCTCCACAGGCAGGTGTCTGACGGACAGCTGGTCTCAGGGTCATCCTCAGGCTACATGGGAACCACCTGAGGACCCCAGCACAACAGGACTCACCTGAAGTCACACAGCAAAGGCCACACTCAAATGGCAGGTGCTGGAGGGCGGGCACTCCTCCCTCACACAGGCAGTCCCTTCAGCAGACTAGGTTGTTGTCAACGCCCCCACCCCAGGTAAGGAATAAAACTGGGGTAGGGGTGCACTCCCTAAGCTGTGTAGGGAAACTGGAAAGTCAGTCTACACTGGTCATGCTCAAGGCTGCCAAGCACAGAAGGACATTCCAGAGACTGTCATTCAGTCTTTCAACAAATACTTGGAGTCTATCCATCCTATAGATTTCATTCAGTCATCCAACAAATACTGCTCTCCTACTAAGCTTCCTTGGCCTTCCTCAGCCTTCAGCAGCCCTCCCTGCTCTCCTCCTACCGTGGGATCCTCCCCTTTCCCTCATATTCCTAGTGTCCTGTAGAAACTCCCCCCACACCCCTTTCCAAAAGGACGCGAGTCTGGGACCACTGAGGAGTGACCCAAACCAGAAGACAGAGCAGCGCAACTGTCTCCGGAGATTACCTGGTGTAGTCCCGACAATATGGTACAGTCTGTCCCGCGGAGGCCGCTGAGGATCTGACACTGGCCTAGGGGGCTCGCTCCCCTCCCCCACCTCGGCCTCCACCTAGCAGCGGCATGGAAAACCCAGCCGGCTCAGCTGACTTCCTCTTGTGTCATGGAAAGTACGGGTGTTAGGACAGGAAACTGTCGCCTGGGATCTGGGGTCTGAGCTGCCACAGGGCCTGGGTCCTGGAGGGATGCAAGGGGCAGAACCACCGTGGGTAATTACTAGGGGGGCGGTGTGGAGAGGGGCCAGGGGCTGCAAGGGGGCCACAGACCCGGGAGTGGCAGGACCCACCACGAAGGTTCTAGCAGGTACACAGCTAGTTCCTGCGGTATACTTTCAGTTTTCTACAAAGAATGGAACACAGTGGAAGCCGCCTAGTAGATGACCCTAACGCCTGTGAAGGGGAAGACTGGAAATAAGCCGAAAGCCGGGCGTTTGGGCTGCCTTTGATAAAGAAGAAATAGTCTGGAGAGCTGTAGAAGGGGTGTCAGCTTCCTGTGGTGTGAAACTGGAGGCTGCATTCGGTTCCCATGCTGGCCATCCCTCCTGGTTGGGGGTCAGTGGACTGCAGCAAGGCTGAGTTCTTCCCAGCTGCTCTCTGTAAATTGTGAGGGAATAGGCTGTGAAGGACACTTAGGAAATAGAAAAGGGCGCTGGGGATACAGCTCAGTGTTTGCCTTGTAAGCATTTGACACTAGGCTCCATCCCCAGAACCACCAAAGGAAAAATAACAGAAATACTAAATCATAAAGGTCTCCTGGTCACGGCAGGAAGGGACTGAGCCTCTCGCTCTCACCCCTCCATTTCTAGTCTTCATGTTTGTGTGTTTGCTTGGGTTTTTTTGTTTGTAGAGCAGGCTGGCCTCGAACTCAAAGAGATCCACCTGTCTCTGCACCACCACCAACCACGGGGCTGTATTTCTAGATCTTGCATAGAGTAAATGTTTGATGAATGAATGAATAAATGAATGAATGAGTCCAGATCCCCAAGACCATACAATATGGAGATCTCATACTCAACATGAAGATCTCATACCTAACATGGAGATCACACACCCAACATGGCAATTTCACACCAACACAGAGATAGATCTGTCCATCATTCACTCACTCCCCCACACACACACACACACTAGTGCAAACCCAACTTTCATGAAGACACTCTCTTCACTGTACTTACTGGTAAAATGTCACTCATGGACTCCTAGGCATGATAATTCACACTTCTAATTCTAGCACTTGTGAGGATGAGGCAGGAGGATTACCACAAATTCCGAGCTAGCATGGGCTACCTAACGAGAACCTGTTTTTTTGTTCGTTTGTTTGTTTTGGTTTTGTTTTAATTCCCCTTAGGGTAGTGGTTCTCAACCTGTGGGTTGAAACCCCTCGTAGCTCAAATGACCCTTTCACGGGGGTTGCCTAAGACCATCATTAAACAGATATTTACATTACGATTCATAACAGTAGCAAAATTACAGTCATGAAGAAGCAACAAAAATAATTTTATGGTTGGGGGTCACCACATGAGGAACTGTATTAAAGAGTTGCAGCATTAGGAAGGTTGAAGACCTCTGACATAGAGATTCAGTGCAGACTACAGGCTTCCAGTCTGGTCCGCTGTGGTGCTAGGGTGGTGTAGATGGGGCTAGCGTTTGAGTTTTTCTCACTAATCCTTCAGTAAGACCTGAAGTTGTACATCTGCTTCCCACCTCCCACAGCCCTGGCCCCACTGGCGAAAACTCGTGTCCAGGGCCCTGCTCTGCCCACCCCTCTCCCCTCCAGTCAGCTCTCCTTAGGACAAGACACCCTCTCTGGAGTCCCCCGCCTCTTTCTCCCAACCCACAAGGACAGCGGGCTCTGTCCTGGCATGGGCATAGCCAGTGAGCACTATCCCAGCTCTGAGCATCTCAAGCAGGAAGTTGACAGGCTCGGGCCTCCATTCAAATCGGGGCAGATGGTTTCACCCGGAGGAAGTTGACAGTTCAACTTCAAACAAGGTGGCTGTGACGCAGGCCCACATTGCCTGCTTCCCTGTTCCACCTCTGCTTGTGCCCCCTCCCTCCCAGAGAGTGAGACACTGAGTCAGACGCCTTTACCAGCGGCTGCCGAGCTAACTGAGGCTGAGGCGGCAGGGGGCCAGGTCCATGGACTCCCACCAAGTGCTACTGGCTACTGCGTACCTGCTGGGAACACTGGGTGAGTCCCTACCAGGTACTGCCAGACGGGATACCTGGGCACACTGGGGTGCAGGGAGGGGAATCTCAATTTTTCCCAGGTCTGACTCTGGGCACGTGTGCAATATCAGGGAAGTTTAGGGTCACAAAGCCCCGATCAACTCGCCAGCCTGGGCCGGGCTCTGCTTGTCCGTTCTTCCCCAATGTTGTCCAGCCTATTCTCTCTGTATTGGTGAGACTTGCTGCCTTCCTCAGCCTTGGGCTAGAAATCAGAGCATTCAGCTCCCAACCTATGCAACCACCGGCTGCAGTGTGCAGCCCAGAAATGCCTGGCCGCTCCTTGGTCACCTCCAGGGGGGGTAGAAAGCTGATACCGAGGATGCTGAGGCAGAATGGTCCCTTCACGCGGATGCGGAAGAGCAGACGCCAAGCTCAAACAGCAGCGCTGGGTCAGTCCTGAAGGAGTCCCCAACTTCTGAATCTTGCTTCAGACCTGAAGCCCTGATGGTGGGCCATTGGTGGCATCTGAAAAGGGGAGTCTGGCCAGGGGTATGCTGTGAACGTTATGCCTGGAGGCCCAAACCCTGGGCTCCCAGTTTGATTATGAGATCTTCCCATACACACATGTTGATATGTTGGAGCAGGGGTATAAACTGATGGGCTCTGACTACTCAAGAGGTGTGTGTGGCCGGGAAAGGACTGCTGAATGCTGGGTGTGGCGGGGAGCAAGAGACAGCATCCTGCTTTGCAGAGAAGGGGCTGATGCTGCAGGTACCCAGTCTGCACCTACAACAGCTAGTGAGTGAATGAGTGAGTGTGGGAATGGGGATGTGTGTGTGTGTATCTGTGTGTGTGTGTGTGTGTGTGTGAGAGAGAGAGAGAGAGAGAGAGACAGAGAGAGAGACAGAGAGAGAGAGAGAGAGAGAGAGAGAGAGAGAGAGAGAGATCATCAGAAGGGCAGGGAGCACATGGTACCTGTGTGTTGATAGAGTTTATAGGTAGGAAGCAATTCCATGATGCAGGGCAGGGGAGGCAAAGCTCACAATTTTATTTTTAATTTTATGGTCCTAGGATTGGACCCAGAACCCCATATGTTAGGCAAACTATCACTGAGCAACATCCTGCCTGTTTTTATTTTTTTTAATGTTTTTAGATTTCTGTGTGTGTGTGTGTGTGTGTGCGCGCGCGCGCGCACATGCGAGCGCTCATGCCACTGGGTCAGAGGACAACTTGCAAGCATCAGTTCCCTCCTTCTGTCATGTGGTTCCAAAGATGGAACTTGGCTCATTAGTATTGCCAGAGAGAGCCTTTACTCACTTAGACATCTCGCTGGCCCTAAGCTTTTTGAGGTAGGTTCTCCATACAGTGACAGCCGGCCTCCCAGGACTGACTTTGATGAAATCCTTTTAAAGCCATTTTTTTCTGTAAGCTTCTGAATAGTACAGAAAGTATGTGGGCCTATCACCCCATTTTATAGTGGGGAAAAACTGAGGCCTGGGAGTGGCAAGCCCAAGTAGAGCAGATGGTAAGCAGCATGGAGAGCCTGGCCCAGAGCTGCTGCCCTCACACAGCACAGGGCCCCCATAAGAGTACTAGGTCCCCGAAGCCATTCCCACATGTCAGAGCATGCCTGCAGGAGAAGCCTCCATCAGCAGATACAGAGATCAAGGCACAGGGCTGGGGACACCCCAAGGGCTGAGGAATGAAGATATATGTGTACAACCCGGCTGCGTTACAGTGTCAGCCAGGGGTTCCTACATCGTCCGCTCTTACAATTTTTCTGAGCCTCAATCACTGACCTGGCTTGGGGACATGGCTCAAGACACTGCACAGCCCAGCTGACCGCACGGTGACTCCAAAAACCAAACTGAGTTCCATTCTGCCGCTTTTGGCTAAGTGACCTTGGGCTGGGTTGGTAAGCCTCAGCCTCCTCCACTGTAAGTAGAAAGCAGTAACAGTACCCTGTGAATGTGCACAGGGATTAAATGAATCGACTCTCACTAGATCTCTCGTGCCCATGGTGGAGACAGTGCTCGGGAGACATGAGGGCCGTCCAGAGAAGCAAGGCCTCAGCTCTTTACAGCAGTGGGAGCCAAGGCAGACACCCTGGCCTGTGGCCTGCCCAGCTCCCAGAGGAGACCTGGCAAAGAAAGAATGGAAATGAGCGCCTGAAATGTGCACATGAGGTGGGACCCCACTCGGATGGAGAGCTAGCTCTGCAGGCACAGGGCCTTTTGAAGAGGATGACATTACCTCTGTCACCCTGAGACCCAAATGATAAGATGAACCAGCTAGGCAGAGAAAGGGGGGAGAGGGGCCTGGGTAGAGGGCGCCGCAGGGGAAGGCCAAGGGGGAGAGACGGGCCTGAGAGACTGGGTGGTACTCGGTAGGAGCAGGTGGTGAGCTGCAGCTGTCCCAGAATGCACAGCTGAGGCTGTCTTTGGCTCTCGGCGCAAAGGATCAGAGCCCTGACTGACCCTGGAAGCCAGAGGAAGGTACAAGCCCTATGGCCACTCAGCAGGGCTCCACCAAGAGGAGGTCAGATGGTTTCCTCGAGTGACCAGGACAAGAATTCAGTCAGAGCTGACAGCTAGGAGCATCGATTCTCCATGCTTACGTGTATGCGTGTACATGTGTGCAGGCGGTGTGCAGGGCAGGGTAGGAGGATCTAATCTGCTCTCTTCTTAGTCACTCAGGGTGAGAAGAACTTCTCTGGCCCTTGGTCTTCTCATCTATAACACGGGCTGAGCTATGCTGGGCATGGTGGTAATCCCAGAGCTCGGTAGGCTGAGACATAAAGATCACGAGTTTCAGGACACGCTGGGTTACACAGTGAGTAGCCTGTCTCAAAACCAAGCACACAAAACAGAATATCAGAAGCCTGTAGCTGTGTTTCAAAGGTTACAGTGGTAGTTTCCATGGATTTATCCAGACAACAAGCACTGATTGAGTACCTACTATGTGCTGGGGCTACACGGAAAACAAAGAGACAAGATCTCTGCCCTGGCAGGTCTGAGACAAAGATAGTATGTCTGTATGCGCTAGAAGGTCATTCATGGGTTGGCAATAGATAAAGGGAGGGCTGGGTGGGGGCCATGCTGTGCCTACCTAGTATTGGTATTACAAAAGAGCATGTTCACACAAGGGAAGTGAGAAAGCCTGCCACGGGGTGGGCCTGGGGAACCCAGAGGCAGGGTCCTTACTCAGCAGGTCCAATGGAGGAAAGGTGAAAGGGAGCCCAAAGAGCCTCCCGGAGGATGAGCTTCCGTCCTATGGACAGGAGAACCACGCAGAACAGAACCATCTCTCCAAGACTATGAGTCCTCATCCTGATCTCTAGCCAGACGTGCTCCAGAATCCAGATGTTTTCCAAATGTAGATGTTTCTTTTTTTTTTTTTTTTTTTTTTTTTGGTTTTTCTGAGACAGGGTTTCTCTGTATTGTTTTGGAGGCTATCGGTCCAGCCTGGCCTCGAACTCACAGAGATCCGCCTGCCTCTGCCTCCCGAGTGCTGGGATTAAAGGCGTGCGCCACCACCGCCCGGCAGATGTTTCATTTTATGTAAGCTATGTGCTTCCCACTCTCAAGGAGGTCTGGTGGCGGTACTGGGTCACAGAATGCATGTCCACTTCTGCAGTGACACTGGGCTATGAGGGACCCAGAGGACCCCCATATGCTGTGTCAGGTGGTAGGAAGGAGGCACCGTGCTGCTTGCCTCTAGCTAAGTATGTGACTCTGGCCAATCATCACGCCCTCAGAACTTCGGTTTTCCCACCTGAATGCGGAGGCAAACATAACCCATTTATATAGGGCTGTGACGGCAAGATCAGGCTGCAGTGTGAGCTTTGAAATCTGTGAAGGTCAGCACACCTGTAAGTCCAGCACTTGAGTGATGAAGGCAAGAGGACCAAGGAGTTCAAGGCCATCCTCTGAAACATAATAAGGCCTAGGCTAACCTGGGCTACATAAGACCCACCACACACACACACACACACACACACACACACACACACACGAGGGGGAAGCTGTCAGGGGCTAGCACAATGCCCCAATCTGAACCCACTGCCCCCTTGTGCATGCTTCGTATCCCAGGATGCTCCTGGAAGGGCGGGCGGTGGGGGGAGTGGGGGAGTGTGTGCACATTGGTCATAGCAAAAGGCGCCAGCTGTAACCAAAGGCTTCATCAGGTGCTCTACCCGAGATTCCAAAACCTGGCTCTCTCTAACCTCTGTTTCCAGAAAACTTTGATAGTCTCAAGTTAGGGACAACCCCACCGATAAATGTTTGTTTAGTTTTGTTGTTCCAGAAAAATGGGTTTTTAACTGGTCATGATAGAGTACGCCTTTAATCCCAGCACTGAGGAGCCAGAGGCAGGTGGATCTCTGAGTTCAAGACCAGGCTTGCTTACAAATCAAGTTCCAGGACAGCCAGTGCTATACAGAAGTGGGGGGAAGGACGTAAAAACAATAGTGAGGTTTCTGGAACCTTCCAAGTCAGCCAATTCGGAGATGAGGGAGGGAAATGGATGGCCCTCTACAAAGCTGGCAGCCTCCAGTGTAGACTGATGGCTGTGGTTTGGGGAGCTCCTCGGACTGTCAGGGGATCACTGGTTATGGGGTAAAGAGGCCACCAAATTTCCAAGTTACATGAAAGTGATTGGGGGGGCGCCTTCCTCTGAGGAGCAAGATCGTAGCATCTTCGTTTGAGGCTTTAGGCAAGAAATGGGTCTTCATGAGAGGATAGATAGCACAATAGATGGGGCCCTATTGATATTGCCAAGGTCCTGGCCCTCACTCTGAGCCCTGGTGCTAAACCAGTATGTCCAGGCTGCAAATGACAGGCAGGACCTCTGAGCTGGTCAGAGGCAGAGGGCTCAGTTTGATTTTGCCGCCAGCTGCCCTGAGCCAGGTTCTGTCCCGCAGAGTGTCTTACCTACCCCTGTTAACAGTGGCAGCCTGGCTACCAGTAAAGAGATCCATTGCAGAGATGCATGAACACGTGTAGCCATTCCAAAATCCAGAAAATATTAAAATTCCTAGCAGACAGGTCTGGTACAAGATGGCAACTTGAAGTCACAGGAGGCTGTTTATAACCCAGATGCATGCCCTCCAGTGTGGGAATTTGTGTTTCCCTGAAGACAGCACCATGTGCCTAAAGCCAGGGCTCAGGAGACATGGGGAGAAAGCAGGACCACTCAGCTATAGCAAATCAAAAGACAAAAAAGTATAGACTGCTGGTGATGGTGGCATAGCCCACAGTCGGGTTCCCTGATTTCCAAAACCATCTGAAGCTTCATTCAGATTTATTTTTAAAGCAAAATAAAAGAAGTTTTGAAAGTTGCACACACCCCTGAAAAGAAAAGAAAAATGTTAAGCATTGCCCGGAGCTAGTAAAACTCACCGATGGTGAGATGTAGCCTGTGAGATGCAGCACAAGGAACCACAGCGAGCATCACAGGCGTGCTCAGGGCAGGAGGAAGGGGAAGACATCTCGGAGCAGCTCTCAGGGATTCCTCTAAGCCTTTCTAGGTCCTGTCAGCTTAGACAGGCTCAAAACAGCTGGATTTAATCAATGGGGAGACCAGACACCGGAGCTAGGAACAGTGGCTTCTTTTGCCAAGGTCTTTCTTTGTCTGGGCTTGCTCACTCCAAGCCCAGCACTGTGGGAGCTTGCAGGATGTTGGGCAGGGAAGGAAAAGGCTTTGGAATCTTTAGATGCTGTCCCAGCAGCTTGGAGGAGAGGTGTGGGTGTCAGAGGATGAGATGGTATAATGCTTCCATGCCCCATGTCCCTGCAGCCTTCAGGGTCTCCAAGAAGAGTCCTGATAGGGGTTGGCTATGGGAGTTTCAGAAGGGACTGGGCAGGGGTGAAGTGTGGCTCCAGAGGCGTCCAGGGAGATGCTGAGCACAGCCTGCAGGGCTCAGGCCCAGGAGGATGTTCATGGGTTCCTGTGAAAATCCAGAAAGTGAATGAAAATGGTTTGTGGACAAAGGAAGTCTGAGTATCCCTGGACAGGAGAAGCAGCATGTGGCCCGTCCTGCTCTGACAAATGCCTTTGAGACCCATTAGAAACATGGGTTGGAGATTATGTATGGTTAAACCAAGATGAGAGTGAAGGATCATGAAACTGAACCTCATCTTTGCAGAGCAGTGGACTGGGCCCAGAGAGTCTGAGTGAGTCACCAACATCACACAGCAGATTCGGTGCTATGTTTATCCATGGCACATTTGTTTTATCTTGACACCTTGAAACATGCAGGAACTGATTAACACAGAGCACAGCAGCAGCTTGCCCCGGCGGGCAGAGCACAGCCTCTTGGCCGCTAGCTGTGTAGGCAAGACAGTCACCTCTTTTAGTTTCCTCTATCCAACAGGGACCAAAGCAGTAATACCTATCAAATGGTATAGAGGAGAGAATTGAGAGGTTTAAGGTAAAAATTCCCAGAAGAGTGAAAACTGAAACTGCTGCTGACAGTAGTGATGAAGATGGCGATGGTGGCAGAGATGAAGGCGCGAGTAACGGTCGGGGTAGGCAAGCGGTGGCGGCGGCGGCAGAGATAGAGGGGCTGCAATAGCCATAACAATGGTGATGGTGTGGAGCCGGCGAGCATGCTGGGACGGGATGATGGGGGTCATGATGACTGTGATGAGGACGGTGGTGGTGGCGGCAATGATAATGGTGATGGTGATGGCAATGGTGACGGATGACGGTGGAAATGACGATAGTGAAGATCCTGGCAGTGGTGACGATGGTGATGCTGGCAGAGATGGAGGTGGCGGTAGTGAGAATAATGAGGATGGCACTGATGGTGATGGCAGTCGTGGCTACATGATGATAGTGGCCATGGTAATAGTGATGGTGGTGGAAAGGGAAGGGGGAACACGGTTCATACGGGGACCAAGCAGAATGAGCCACACCCTGGAATGCACAGCCACCCTCTCTCAACAGATCACTTTCCTTTTTAAATGTATTACTATTATTGGGGTGTGTGTGTGTGTGTGTGTGTGTGTGTGTGTGTGCCACAGAGGACAACGTTGGGGATTTGGGGAGCCGGTTCTCCTTCCACCTCATTGGGGCGGCGTCTCTCACTTCTGCTGCTTACTGTGCATTCCAGGCAAGCTGGTCCCTGAGCTTCTGAGCCATTCTGTCTCTGCTGCTCTTGCGGTAGGTGTGCTGGGATCACAGACGAGCACCAGCACAGCCGACTTTTGAATGCAGGTTTGGGGATGGAGCTCAAGTCATTGGGCTCGCATCACAAACACTTTACCTGCTTTCCCTTTCAGATGGTAGGTGGGTGTCAGCTGTTCAGTTTTCCTAAGGAAATTCTCTAAAGAGGACCAATGCTGTCTGTGTGGTGTCTACCATGGGGCCTGGGATCGTCAAACCCAGCCCCTGCCTGACGGGTTTTTAAGTCCGGCTGCTCAGGGCCAGAAGATCAATTATGGTCGCCTCTGGACCACCAAACTGGGCACCTTGGAGTGGCAGCTGAGTAGCTGAGAGCTAGCCAGAGGCAACCACAGCCTAGCCAAGTGTTTGATATTCATAATGAGCGCAGTGGATTAAGAACCCTGTGGCCTGTCCTCCATGCTTCCCAGGCAAGCCCTCTCAGTCCTCCCACTGGGAAAGCTCCCCAGACGTCTGTGGTCACACCTGCCCCACCCAAACAGCAGTAGCCCTATTTATAAGCACTGAGCTGGGCTTGGGCAGCACTGGGCTAAGCTCTTCACATAGAGGGGTCCAGGTCCATCTCTCAGTATAACTCACTCCTCGCTGTAGATGGAGCAACCAAGTCTTAGAGGGTTAAGACAGGAGAACCTGCTTCCTGTATGACAGGCAGAAACAACAGAGCTAAGCCTCAGACCCGGAGCACTTCTAGAACTAAAACCCAGCCCTGCATCACACAGCAGCAAAGAGCAGGTCTAAGTGTCTCCTTTCCCCATAGACACCACTTTAAGCACCTCAGCCCTCATGGTTTTGCCAAATGAGTGGCCCTCTAATGGTGGCTTTCCCAGTCCCCATGGGAGCCAGGATGGAAAGAGGTCAGGGCGACAGGTGAGGAAGGGCAAAGGGTCCCTGCCTCCTCTCTTGCCCTGAAACTAGGCTTCTACCCACATCTTCCTGAGGCCAAACTGGCGAGCCATGGTCCCCAGGCTAGATCCCCAGAATTAGGATGAGGACCACAAGCACACGCAGCTCTGTGATTGAACAAAAGTCCTCGTGCTTGCAAGACAAACGCTTTGCTGACTTAGCCATCCCCTCGGCATCACGGTTCCCCAAAGCATTCCACACCTCCCAATGCCAGAGTGTGCCTTCCTTTACTCTGCCCCATTTCCTTTTTAAGAAGAGGAATGCTGCATTACTATAAAGGGACAGACAGAATGAGGAGTCCCTGTGGATGGTGGTGTCTTTATTGTGTCTTTATTGTGATGGAGGTCATGCATGTGGTGTGTGCTAACACTCACAGAATCATGCACTAAAGAAAAATCAATTCTACTTGTGTATCCATTGAGAAAACAAATTTTAGAAAGAGAGACAATCGATGGCTTCAACCCACTACATTGAGTCCACAGCCACTCTGGGTTCTAAACTACAGCATGAAAATTCCTGCCCTGGAGTCTCCTTGGCAGTGGGGGTGGGGGGACTCCTTGGAGCAGAGGGAAGCAGGGAGACTTCACATTCTGACCTCCTTCTCTCCTTTCCACAGTTGCTTTCTGCCATGGACAGTCCCGATGGGATGACTCAGGTAAGGAAGAGTGTGGGAAGGGAAGTGGGACAGGGGGAGAGAGAGAGACAGAGACAGAGAGAGAGAGACAGAGACAGAGAGAGAGAGAGAGAAAGAGAGAGAGCAGTTTGGGGGCTCCATGAGGGTCTGCCTGTTAAAAGAAACTGTCTCCTCCGTCAACATGAACCCCACATCTTGCAAACACACAGACATCAGTCATGCCAGTACACATACAGGTGGCACCCTTCATAGCCAGAGAGCACCACGTGAATGCTAGCTAGCGTGCCCCCCGCCCCACTCTGTGGGCAGGAAACATACCCACCCACAGGTGTACTTCACAAAGCCTTATTTCCTCTCTGGTCCTCCGTGGTCATGGACACTTGCAGACAGGCTGTGGGAAAGGCTGTGTTAGGTTGCAAAGAGGGGAGTGTCTGTCTACACTTCAATCTTAGAAGCCACCATTTCTCAATCAGGCAAAGGGTGGGCTGCGCCGTATCTCCTACTGGAGACTGACAGTGGACACTGGTCTAATGAAGACCCCGAGAAGTTCCTCAGTGAAGAATCCCATTGATTTAGTTCTCCATGCTCGGGGTGAACCCCAGGGCCTTGCATGTACTAGGCAAGTGTTCTACCAATGAGCTATATTCCTGTTTTTTATGTTGGCAGTCTCCATATTCATCTACCACAGTCCCATCTCCATGTTAACATGGATATCACTGTGCTGAATTTCTCTGGAGAGAAATGATGGTCTTGTAAAGCTACCATGCAGCTTCAGGGGCCTCACCAGGCCCCGGGGCCAGGACTCAGGCCTTTGCATGATGTCCCATCTTCAGGCTCTAGTAAGTCACTTGCTGTCTGAGCCTCACTTGCTCACCTACAGAAGGGGAGAAAATATCTCCTTTTGGAGGACAAAGTGAGGAGCTTACTAAGTCAGGAGCCCGTGAAATGGCTGCAATGGTTCGATGTGGACCAGTCCCCAGCACCCAGCTAGCCAGGTGACCTCAGTTAGCCGAAGCCCTGCTCTCTCTGTGGCCAGGAAGGAAAGGGCAGCCTGGCCAGTAGCTCTAAGTCAAGGAAGCCTCCAAGAAAGTCTTTTCATTTTCAGACATGTTCCTTGAATAAGTAATACATTTGTCTGTTCAGCTCGAAGCTTTGATGACAGGATCTGCTGCTTGTTTAATTTGTCTCTGCTCCTCATCTGCCCTTCCCTCCTCTCGCCCAACACCTCAAGGAAGGACTGTGCTTGCCCCTCCTTTACATGTCCTCCCAGAATCTCTTTGTAGAGACAGAGACAGGGACAAAGAGAAAGAGAGAGAGAGAGAGACAGAAGACATAGTATCTGTGACTTCAACCAAGTGAAGATCAAAAATGGCTCAGTGTGTAAAATGCTCACCTCACAAGCATGAGGACCAGAGTGTGGTCCCCAGAACTCAAAACCCAAAAACAAAAACAATCCACACATGGTGGCATGCCTTGTCGTCACAGCACTGTGGAGACGGAAGCAGGCATGTCCCTGAGACTCACTGGCCAGATTGCCAGATCACTGGAAAACCAACTCTATCTCAAAAAAATAGGAACAGTGCCTGAGGAAAAATGCCCAGAGTCACACACACACTCACACACACACACACACACTCACTCACTCACACACACACTCACTCACTCACACACACTCACTCACACACACACACACACACACACACTCACTCACTCACTCACTCAGGCCTCTCTGTCCTGGACTCACACAGATGCCTTTCTTGTCAATGTTCCCTAGGCACTACAGAGTCACAACCATTCACATAGTTTTGCATTGTGCTAGGATTCTGAGCAATCTAGAGATGACAGCATACAAAGGATGTGCGAAGGTCAGAGGCAGACATTCTGCCATTCTGTTTGTTGTTATAGCTCTGGGAACAGAACTCAGGCCCTTGAGTATGTTAAACACATACTCAGCTGAGTGGTGGTGATGCACACCTTTGATCCCAGCATTCAGGAGGCAGAGGCAGGTGGATCTCTGAGTTCGAGGCTAGCCTGATCCACAGACCCATTTCCAGGACAGCCAGAGAAACCCTGTCAACAACAAAAATCCCAAACTAAACACATACTCCACCACTAAGCTACACCTCTAGCCCCATTTCTGGGTGGTTGGCTTGTTTGTTTGAGAGCTGTGTGGCCCAGATTGGCCTCAAACTCACCAAGAATGACTTTGAACACCTGAGCTTTCACCTTCTAGGTTCTGGGATATCAGGCATGTGCCACCTTGCCTGGTCCTAGACCATTTTACATGAGGAACTTAAGCTTCTGTGGACTCTAGTACCCAAAGGAGATCCTAGAAGCACTTTCCATGGGTTCCAAGGGGCACCTCTAGATGTTATTATTCCTCACCCTGTCATGGGGCTTTATAAAGTAACAAAGCCGCAAGCCTGCCTATAACCTAAGAATTTCACTGTAAGGTATTTACTCAAGAGAAATGAGCAGTTTTATTTGCAGCCAGCAAAACAACCCACATAATACATAGAAAAGAAATGGGGAAATTTCACACAATGAAATATTATTCCAAAGTAAAAAAAAAGACATGACTTTATACAGAAATACACATAAGCCCCAAGTATATGTAGAGGGCAAGAGGCCATAGCGCTTGATGCTCTGTGATTCAATTCAATTATGTGACCCTGTGGAAGACTAATCTTTCATGGCAGAATGCAGGGCAGTCCTTGCCGGAGGCTGGAGCCAGGGAAATGAACTGGCTGTCGGGGAGCAGGCAGGAAGTGTCTGGATGACAGACAGACTCTGTATCTAGATCACAGAGTGGCTGTGTGCTTGTAGATGTTTGTCACTCCCACAGAATAGAACCCTTAAAATGAAAGTATTCTGCTGCAGGAAAACTGTGCCTCCATAAAATTGATTTTTTTTCTTTTTGTGTGTGTGTGGTGTGTGTGTGTGTATTTTGTTTTTAAATTTAAATTAGAAACAAGCTTGCTTCACATGTCAATCCCAGCTCCCTCTCCCTCCCTCCTCTCCCGCCACCCACCCAAGCCCCCGCTCCTTTCCCTAGGGAGGGTGAGGCCCTCCATGGGGGATCTCCAAAGTCTATCATATCATCCGAGGCAGGGCCTAGGCCCTCCCCCACGTGACTAGGCTGAGAGAGCATCCCTCCATGTGGAATGGGCTCCCAAAGTCTATTCATATGACAGGAATAAATACTGATCTACTACCCGAGGCCCCGTAGATTGCAGAGGCCTCCTAACTGACACCCAAATTTAGGGGGTCTGAGTCAGCCCCATGCTGATCTCCAAGCTATCAGTCTGGAGCTCCCCCTTGTTCAGGTCAGCTATTTCTGTGGGTTAAACAAGCCCAGTCTTAACCCTTTGCTCATTAGTCCTCCCTCTCTGCAACTGGGTTCCAGGAGTTCAGTTCAGTGTTTAGCCCTGGGTGTCTGCCTCTGCTTCCTTCAGCTACTGGATGAAGGCTCTAGGATGGCATATAAGGTAGTAAATCCTCATTTTCCACTTGATGTTAAACAGGCATTTTACTTTTGAAATTTCTCTATTCAGTCTCTCTTCTCTGTCTCCTTACTTATTAGGATGACAGGCTCCTTTCCCATCTCCCTATTTCTTGATTCCTAATATGAATTCTGCCAAGACACAAAAACTGGAGCAACTGGACAACTGTTTCAAGATTTACTCTCAGTTGCAATCATCTGCATGACTTTGAACTCTTGATGCTCTTGCCTCTGTTCCCCCTTCCAGGTGCTGGGATTATAGAACCATGACCACCATGCCCAGCAAAAAAACAATAAGGGTGACAAAGACAGTGAACGCATTCCATCGTGAGTGCTGTGGGCACAGAGAGCTATCACTAATAAGCAGAGACTAGAACTTGTGGGAGAGAAACTCATTAAAGAACTCACCCTCCTCTTCCATGTTTGTCAGTTCAGTAGATGCTAAGCCTCAGTACTAAAAACATTTCAGAGAGGTTGACAGGCAGAACTGGAAGAGAGTCAGCCGGAATCTAACTGTATTGGGATCCCTCCCCCAAGATGATTGCCATTGAGAGTAAAATTGATTTTTGATGTTTTGTTTTGTTGGAACAGGATCTCCTATTCCTCCGGTTGTCCTCAAACTCATTATGGAGATGAGGACGACCTTGAACTCCTATTTCTCCTGTCTCCACCTGCCAAGGGCAGACATGTACCACCCAGCTAATACAATTGATTTTAATGCTAAATCACAAAGATCTTGAGAGAAAGGGCTGGGAAGATGGCTCGGTCCAGTAAAGTGCTTGTGCATGAGGACCTGAGTTCAATCCCCAGAGCCCACATTAGGAGAGAGAGAGAGAGAGAGAGAGAGAGAGAGAGAGAGAGAGAGAGAGAGAGAGAGAGAGAGAGAGAGAGAGAGAGAGAGAGAGAAACATGGCATGGTAGACATTAGTAATCCTATGTTAGGTAGGAAGGGACAGGCAAATTCCCAGGGCTTGCTGACCAGCAGGCTTAGCTGAATTGGTAAGTTCAACTCCTAGTGAGAGACCATGTCTAAAAAAACAAGAGAGACAGCTCAATCCTGAGGAATAAATTGTTCTCTGACCCCTGACACACTTGCATACATGTGTACAGAGAGAAAGAGACAGAGACAGAGAGAGATAGAGACAGAGACAGAGATAAAGAGACCACATCAGGCCACACCTCAGGCCTATTAAAACTGAATTTCCAAGATTGAGGGGATTTTGTTGGACAGAAGGTGCTGAGAATATCTTGTTCACAGTCCAAAGGTTCCCTCTAGCTCAGAAATCTGAGCCACAGTGTAGGGTCAACAGAGCACCCTGCCTGAGCTTCTAGGAAGGCTTTGCAGTGACATAAAAGGGGAAGCAAGAGCTGAGCCCCTGAGGAGAGCTCTTCCTCCATCACCTGACACCTCCTACTACCTCTGTGACTCGCCCCTCCCCAGGTCCCCAGGTGTCACTAAGTGGTACCAACTCCAAGTGCCAGGGTAAACTGGAGGTCCAGATGGGAAGCCAGAGGAGCACTGTGTGCAGTTCCAGTTGGAGCCGGAGCCAGGACCACTGGAGAAACCCCCATGAGGCCGATAGAGTGTGCCAGAAGCTGGGATGTGGTTATCTCTTGACCCACGGCCACTTCCCTCGACTGGACAGATCCCAGAACCAGATCCTCTGTCACGGACCCCTGTTGTCTTTCTCCAACTGCAGCACAAATTCACCAGTCGGGTGCCCTCCACTAAGCCTGATCTGCCAAGGTGGGTGATACTGTGTGCACCCTGGGCTGAGGCCTGGGAAGGTAAGGGGATGGGAAGGGCTCCGCAATTTCAGTGCCTTGACTATAGACAGGAGAGGGGACTGGATAAGGGTAAGGCAAACGCTGCTGCATTTGACTGACAAGACTGAAGAGCAGGGTCTGGCTCTGCCAAATGCCAGCCCTGTCCTTTGTACCTTCACTTTCCTGCCTGTGATGTGTGGGACTGCCTCCTCTCATGGAGTTGAGAGGCAGAATGGGGGAGGGGGGTCAAGTCAGCTTACCAAGTCAGGAGCCCTGTGTCTTCACATTGTCACCAACCCAGTTCCCCTCCTTCCCTCCACTCCCCACCCCCACCCTTGTCTGGTGTTTCATTGCAGAGCCCCATATGACAACACCTCCACCCACAACCACCCCGCCCACCACCATGCCAGAGCCCACAGGTAAGAAGGGTGTTGGGCTTCATGGAGGGCAGGAGAGGGAAGGGACTGACAGAGACAGTGAAGGTTCAAGTCCAGGTACCACATAGCGGCTGTACTCTTGAACTCACAGGAACTGTGGTTACCTGCACAAGATTAGGTTGTCAACACTCCTTAATGGAGGGAGGAGAGACCCATGAGACTTCACTCCTCCCTAAGGAAGTATAGGCAGTTAATGGTCAGAGAGACATTTTCTTCAGTGCTGTGGCCACTGGTAAGGTGCCCTGTAAATGGCCCTAATTAAATTCATTGAGTCACCAAAACAAACAAAAGCCAAGAGGAAAACAAACAAATTCCAGTGGAAAAGATTCAGGTGTGTCCTATGCAATGCTTGGGACGGTTGTCACCTCCCAAGTGCCCATGCGCTGGTACTCAGCAGCAAGGCTTTGTGAAAGCCACCCAGCTCAGACATGCCTCCCCACTTCCAGCTCCTCCCAGATTGCGGCTGGTGCCAGGACCCAAGGGCCTGACGTGCTCAGGTGTGGTGGAATTCTACAATGGCAGCAGAGGTGGCACTGTCCTCTACGAGGCCAAGGATAGGCCCCTGGGCCTGGGAAGCCTCATCTGTAACACTCTGCAGTGCGGATCTTTCTTGACATATCTGCCGGGGCCTGAGGCAGCAGAGACACCAGCTCCTGAAGAGCTGAAGAACCCCAAGCCCTTGCCAATTCGATGGGAGGTACAGAACGGGAGCTGTGACTCCATGCAGCGATGCTTCCAGAAAACGAGGCCCCAGGAGGGCGCCCAGGCGCTATCAGTCATCTGCTCCGGTAAGCTGCAAACCAACCACACTCCATCAGTTCCTCTGCTGCCTTGGAGTGGGGATGTGGGGTCCCCCGATCACATGTTCAGATTTTATGAGAGGCCTGATAGGGATGAAGGACAAGCTGAGGCCTGAGCCCATGGCCTCCTCTAAAAGGTAGGACAAGTTAGATGAGGTGCTGTCTGAGGCATCTACAAAGCAATCCCTGCCAGCACAAAGGAGCTGCCATCTGGAGAAGTGGAGTCAGCTGGGATCCTAGCAGGAAGAGGAGACAAGACTTTGAAACTGAGGCTTGGGCAAAGGCCTGGGGCAACTGCGGAGGCTGCATTTACCAGCAGGGAGTTTTCAAGTCACCAGAAAGGAGGCTGGAGAGATGATAAGGCCTGGGAGGTCCCTAAAGTCTGGCTCAGAGCACAGCTACAGAGGCAGCTCCCAAAGGATACTCTTCTAGGTCCTGAGCTCTAAGAGACTGACAGTGCTGGTGTAGTTGAAGTGGGGAAGGGGGACAGCTGACCTGTGGGACTCTATGGAGCCAAACCAGCATTGGGGAGAGACCAGAGAAAACCACAGTTCAAAGCAAGGCAGAATAACCACCAAGCCGGGGAAGGAGTAGGTTCATGTCACCCGAACTGCCCTACTGCATTCTGGGTTCTGTTGCCAACAGACTACTTGATGCTGGGCATCCTTCAGTTTTTATCCCTACCTTGGGAAGTGGGAACTACTGCTACTCTCTTTTTCCATGAGGAAGGGTGCAAAAAAGCTCAACTTCCTCCTAGGATCACATAGCACTAGCTGGGATTTGCCCACGAGCAATGTCAAATTCTCTAAATGGGGACTGCTCAAGGTGTGTTCCTAGACAGGCACCATCTGGAGACAGTCCCACCACTCCCCAGACTCCCAACAAGAGCCAGTTTCAGCAGGTCCTCAGGATTCCTACCCAACTGCAGGACACATGGCTCTGAATTATAAGGTCTCCAAGCAGGACAGCCTACTCCACTGGGCACCTGATATAAAGTGGTCTTCTGGGGCCTAGAGAGATGGCTCAGAGGACAAGAGCACTTCCTGCTCTTTCAGAGGGCCTGAGTTCAATTCCCAGCAACCACATGATGGCTCACAGCCATCTATAGTGAGATCTGATGCCCTCTCTGGCCTGCAGGTATACGTGTAGGCAGAACACTGTATACATAATAAATAAATAAATCTTTAAAAAGAAAATAAAGTGGTCTCCTAGGCAAGAAGCAGCCCCCAAGGTTTGCTGGCTCAGATGAGAGGCCCATGGCTGGCTCCAGTCCCACCTACCCCTCAGCTATGAGCCCTAAAGCTCTCATGCAGGTCACAACCTACAAAAGCCATTCCCAGGGTCTTGCTTTGAAGTATCTTCTAAATAGAAGATTCACTAGGGCTTTGAAGGTGGGTGTTGCCATGGAAACTAACCAAAGCTGGTGAGCTCACTATTGACTTTAAATCAAGCCTAGTAGCTTCTGTCACGGATTCCCAAGCACCACCCTGATTAGCAGACATAAATACCTCTCTAGGCACCTTGGCCTCACTGTCAAAAACCTAACCTGCAGGGTTCAGGGCCAGGGCAGCCAAATTCCTGGGTTCTGTCCCTCCCGTGAAGTATATCAGCTCTTCCTGGTCCCCAGGTCTCAGTTTCCTCCTTCTGAAAAGCCCCCCCTTCCTCAGGAATACCAAGAGAGTAAAAAGGCATAGCCACCCTGCCGGCTTCTCTGCCACTGCTCTCTTGAGATAGCTGCCACCACCTGCCCAGAAGTCCTGAGGACCAGAGCTTGCTCAGGGGAAGTGCTGGGGAGGGTGTTAGGATGTTCTTGAAAAAGGACAGCATCTTCCTTGCAGTGCTAATCCCTGTCACCTCATCATCACCTCCCCTCTGCAGATTTCCAGCCCAAGGTTCAGAGCCGCCTGGTAGGGGGCAGCAGCTTGTGTGAGGGCATCGCCGAAGTGCGCCAGGGATCACAATGGGCCACCCTGTGTGACAGTACTGTGGCCAGGGGTCGGGCACGGTGGGACCAGCTGTGTCAGGAGCAGCACTGTGGCGACCTCATCTCCTTCCATGCGCTGGATGCTGACAGGACCTCCACCGGGCTCATCTGTACCCAGGAGAAACTGTCTCTGTGTTACCAGCTTCAGAAAAAAACCAACTGCAAGAGGGTGTTCGTCACATGTGAGTTGACTGCAGCCCTCGGTGGGTGGAGAGCAGTTAGGAACTTTTCCCTAGGACCCAGTTAGGGAGCTTGTCTCTAAAGAGCAGATAGGAGAGGTAGATAAACGATCCTGGAAAGGGGACCATAAATGATGTTCTGGGAGCAAGAATCAGACAGCAATGATGAGTGGACCAGGCAAGGTCCAAGTGGATCACTGTCAGATGCGAGAACTCTCCCTTCTCTTCTATCTCCTGCTCTTCAGAGTGCAACCTAGAAAATCAGGGGGTGGATGGAGCATATTTACTACATGAGTGGTAATTGAATAATGGGTAAAAGAGAGACAGGTACATGGATGGGTGACACAAATGGGAGTGGATGGGTGAGTAGATAGATGATTGTATAAATGGATGGATGGGTCAGTGGGTAGACAGATGGACAAATGGACAGACAGACAGGCAGGCAGATGGACAGACAGACAGACAGATGAATAGATGACTGCATAAGCAGATGAACTGATGGGTCAGTGGGTAGGTAATGGATAGACTGATGTCAGCTACATAAGCAGATAGATGGGTGTGTGGATGGATGCAGGGATGCAGGGATGCAGGGATGGTTCAATGGATGACAGATAGTTAAATAGATAGAAGGCTGGCTGATTCTTGATATGTGGTCATGTATAGTCATCTTCCTGATAGTAACTGGGAAGTTGATTAGTCATAATAGTAAAGATAAAAAGTTAACAGTCTATAACAAGAGTGGCAAATAGTAGCTTGTTGGTCACTGAAAGTAATAAACAGCAGACAAATGGATGGCTATCAAAGACTCCTACAGACAGACAGACAGCTCCCTTCTGAGCACTCTGGTGGTACCAGGGAAATCCAGGCAATTGCTGCCCTCTGAGTTGTTTCCCAGGGCTGGGACTGATTTAAGACTTCCCTTGTCCAGGCCAAAACCCAAACCCAGCAGGCCTGGCCCCCGGCACTGTGGCAAGCATCATCCTGACCCTTGTACTCCTGGTGGTGCTGTTGGTAATGTGCGGGCCTCTGATCTACAAGAAGCTGGTGAAGAAATGTAGGTGCCAAACCCCAGCCTTCCTCCCTTACCACCCAGCTCCCCCTGCTGCACACTGACTTTTTTCTGCCTAAAGTATAAGAAAGTCAGGACAAACTGTACCCTCTGATGGGCCCTTGTCTGGACTTGGCAAAAGCCTACTACAATTGATGAAGTCTATGGCCATACAATATCAGCACAGACTCTGATGTCACAAGATGTGGCCCAAGTCCAGCTCCACAACTACAAATGGAACTGACTGCTGCTGCCTCTATCTGAGCCTCAGTTTCCCCACTTACTGAATGAACAGCTACATACTTAATGAATGAGGAGAATTGTCTCCCTGGCCTTGCAGACCTTAGAGAAATTATCCAGAGCCAAAGAAGGATGAGGGAGAACAGAGGCAAGCAGTCTTGGGTCCCTTGTGCCCTCTGGGGTATTGATTCTGGCTCTAAATAAACCCTGTGGTCACTTCTATGGACACCCAGTGACTCCGATCTCCTTCCCTAGTTAGGAAATGAGGCAGAAAGCCTGGAGTGGTGGTCCCCATCAATCTTGCCTCCCTCTTCCCCATCTCCCCTCCTTTACCATCATCTCCCCTCCCCCATCATCTGGCCCTCACGAGCTTTCTGTTTCTGTTTGTTGCCCAGTCCGTCAGAAGAAGCAGCGTCAGTGGATTGGTCCCACCGGAGTGAACCAGAGCAGTAAGTGTCCCCAGAGACAGGTCTCCCTCAGCCCCAGGACTTAGGCCACAGAAGTCAAGGTCTCTGCCGATCACAGCGAAGCAGCAGCTGCTAGAGGCCTCAGCTCTCCACCACATTTCACTAAGGTGTGACTGTGGCCAGCAACGTACCCACACCAGAGAAGGCTGAGGCCTCTTCTAGGGGCAAGTGGTTCTATGCATTTTGCCTTTTGAGCCTCAGACGCCATGGTATTTCTGCTCTCTTGTCTTGTGGTTGACTTAAGCAGAGGTCCCCATAGCCTTCAGCCCCAGGACAGCGGCCCCCAACTTGATGACTGACAGAGGCTCATAGGGATTATTCATCCCATGGTCAAACGGGGTTAAGCGAAACTATGGAAACTATGCACAGTTCTTTAGTTCAGTACTTGTAAGACCCTTTTGATTGGCTCCCCTTCAAAGTGGGAAGGCATGGCAGAGGCCTGGCCAAGCTAGTTTTAGCACAGAACAACTTCAGAGGGCCAGTTTCAGAATACACTGACTGCCAGCCCAAGCCCTCCCCTAGAGTTCATTCTCTCCTTCTAGCCATATTCAGAGCATGCACTCTATTCCTCTCCCCTTCACATGTCCAGGCCAAAATCTTTCTAGAAGATTCTCTTGTTTACTTTGGTTTTAAGCAATATAAAGGCCTGCAGCTCCTGATGCACAGGAGTACATCTCCCTAGCACCTGTGATCCAGCTTCCTGCTGGGTAAAAGCTTGATGACTAAGCAACTGGGGAGCCTCTCCTGGTCAATCAGACTGCTCTAAATGTCTGAGGCTGACCCTGCAGGCATGAATCTCCCCAGAGAGAAAGGAAGGGGAAATGTACTACCCCTCTCCGATGACCTCATGGACACAGAAAGCTAAGCTATAGGATCTTGCTCAGGAAGGACAGCACATTTGTTCTAACAATGCCACCGGCCTCCTGTGTCCGCTTAGTGTCTTTCCATCGCAGCCACACAGCAACTGTAAGGTCCCAGGTTGAGAACCCAGTGGCCTCTCATGTGGACAACGAATACAGCCAGCCTCCCAGGAACTCCCACCTGTCCGCTTATCCAGGTGAGCAGCAGGGGACTGCTGGGTGGGGGTGGGGCACATGCTGAATGCTCACCTTGAAGTTTTGTGCTTGTCCAAAGAGGCAAAGGGAGGCTCCAGGGGGTGGAGGATGAAACTGCCTGCTTGACAGCTGGTCCCAGCAGGGCGGTGGCAGGAATACAGCCTTCATAGGCCTCTGCAGTCCCTTAGAGACCTTGAAACATTCATCCAGAGAGAAGAATGCAGTTGGATGGATGCCATTAACCCCAGCCTTGCTGTGACCTAATGGGCCTGTGTGCCTGCAGGCCTTGAGAGGCTAGATGATAAATGAGTCCCTGGCATCTCTGAGCCATTAAGTGGTCCACAGGCACCTCCAACACTTGGCTTCTCACGGCACTCACAATTAAGTCCCAGGGGGTCTGGAGTTCAGCATCATTAGCGAACACTTGGCCGGTCTGATCAAAACTGATACGGGGCTGTCACCAGTTCAGAGAGCCTCTGTGATCTTGCAACCCACTCAGCTCCTGGGGCCGTGTGTAGCCTCTGGGACTTCTTTAATCAATCCTTTCTCTCTAGCTCTGGAAAGGGCCCTACACCGTTCTTCCACCCAGCCTGACAACTCCTCTGACAGTGACTATGACCTGCAAGTGGCTCAGAGACTGTAAAAGGTGAGCCTGCCCCTGGTTGGCACCCAGGACCTGCACCCAGCCCTGGGGCTCCAGCCTCTCCACTGTCCATAACAGATAGTGGCTCCCAGCGTCTCGCCAACCTAGTCTACATAGCTAGTTCCAGGTCAGCTAGAGATACATAGCAAGTCCCTGTCTCAAAAAGCAAACAACCTCACCCCACCCCACAATTTAGATGATGGAGCCACCTAGGCAAACTGCAGAAAAATCCTCAATCCTAAAGCCACCCTGTAAAGTTCCATCATGAAAAGCCACTGGAAAAGATACTGACAGAGCCGGAGTGAGAGCTGCCAGTACAGCAGCGGCTTACATGCAGGAGGACCCGAGTTCAACTCCTAAATCCATATTTAAAAAACAACAAAAACCCCAAAACAACTGGGATGCACTTTGTAAGCCCAGTGACGGTGTGATGGGAGGCAGAGAGAGACAGCCCCGTAAGCTTGCTGGTCAGCTAGCTTAGCCTTTGCGGCAAAGGTCCAGGCCAATGGCAGACCTTGCCTCCAGAGTGACACCTCCAGCTGTCCTCTGAGCTCTGCATGTGGGTGCACACATACTCCCATAACACACACACAAAGACCTCTTAGGACTCGTGATAAATCACACCCTTCAGACCCACTATGCCTCTAGAAGGGAGAACTTCCTGACACAGGACAGCAGCTTCCCCAAACTGAGCCCAAAGCAAGGATACATCCCCCACATCACTGGTCCCCCTCACAGTGCCAGTGTTTATGCTCTGACATGTGTCCTTTCACGTCACAGAACTTGGAACCAGCAACAAAAGGCCAAGGAGTTCCCTCTGTCCTGAGGAAGTGTTTACCACTTGGAGTGCCACCCGTATTTCCTCCTCAGCCTCCTCAGAACTCAGGGGCCAAGGTCCTTCGGAAAAGATCCTGGGCCCTGCAGTGGCAGGCCAGCACCTATATTCCCTAGGGCCATGACAGCTTGGCTGCCTCCTCCAAGAGCCAACACTCAACAGCCCCTAGACCCACCCACCCTTCCAAGCAGAGACTGCAGTATCCAGAGGGGTTCCCACCCTTTGTGGACCAGTGATCGGCGGGGTCAGCTTTCTCCTTGGACTCTGATGCCACAAAAGAATGATGAGGCAGTGAACAGCCGCATGGGAGTTTATTTCTCAAGTGTATTTTTAATATATTCTTTGTAAATAGTATTTTCTCCTACTTCCCAAGAACTTGAGTTCTTCAGTCTGTTGTGTCCAGGGCCCCACCCTCCAGATCCCTCTAAAGAGAGACCTATTGAGTCACAGGCTGCACACCTGAGCCAAAGGGAGGCTCATTTTTCCTGCCTTCCACCTGCTACATCCTTCATCCAAAGACACCTTCCCCTCCAGAGCACAAGGCTTGCTAGCTAGCAAGGGCACTGGTACCCTGCCCCCACCAGAGCCCAGCATAAAGGGGCACCCAGCCAGTCCTCACCATTAGGCTTTTTACTCCTCACAACAATTAGAAATCCTCAGCTATTTTCAGCTAACCTTTAAACCAAGGAGTTGGAGAACAGAGCTGGGTATGTTCATAGGGTTTAAAGTTTTTTTTAAAGATTTATTTATTTTATTATGTATACAATATAACTACATGCCTGAAGAGGGCACCAGATCTCATTAGAGATGCTTGTGAAGTGCCATGTGAGTGCTAGGAATTGAACTCAGGACCTCTGGAAGAGCAAGCAGTGCTCTTAACCTCTGAGCCCAATAAACCCAATGGATGGACTTTCTTTTCTTTATATCATATGCACTGGTGCTTTGCCTGCATGTATGCCTATGACAGTGGTGCCAGATCCTTGGAAATGGGGTTACAGACAGTTGTAAGCTGCCATGTGGGTGCTAGGAATAGCACCCAGGTCCTTTGGAAGAGCAGCCAATGCTTTTAAATGCTGAGCCATTTCTCCAGCCTGTTCCTAGGATTTAAATTCCCTTCAACAAAACAGTCTCCTCTACAATTCAGATTTGAGATGGGACAATCTAGAGTCTCCCTGACTACAGGCAAGGGGAAGGCATCTACCCGGGAGCCTCTAGGTCTAACCCAGGGATAGGTTGTGCCTTGGTCTAGCCCAGGGATAGGTTGTGCCTTGGTCTAGCCCAGGGATAGGTTGTGCCTTGGTCTAGCCCAGGGATAAGTTGTGCCTTGGTCTAGCCCAGGGATAGGTTGTGCCTTGGTCTAGCCCAGGGATAGGTTGTGCCTTGGTCTAACACAGGGATAGGTTGTGCCTTGGTCTAACACAGGGATAGGTTGTGCTTTGGTCTAGCCCAGGGATAGGTTGTGCCTTGGTCTAGCCAGGGATAGGTTGTGATGAAGCCTTCAGGCACACAGGCATCAGTAGTTCACCCACAGCTGCCAACTCTGGTAAAGCAAAGAGGAGTCACTAGAAGAAGGTGGCGGGGGACCAAGGAGCTAGGGATACCATCATTCTAGAAAAGTCTGCTCAGTGCTGTGCCCTTCCTACAGCACCCCCTGTCCACCCAGGCTTCGATTCTTTTTAATTATGTATATATGGGCCAGTATTTGTGTGAAATGTACAGGGTCAAATCCCCTGAAAGCGGGCAGCCACCTGATGTGAGCACTGGGAGCTGAACTCTGTCCATTCGCAAGAACAGTATTCACTATTAAACGCTGAGTCATCTCTCCAGCCCTCGGCCTCAGTTCTCACAGTCCAGTCACATATCTGCCACTCATGCTAGAAACCCATCAAAGGGAGCTAAGAGGGCGTTACTAGAAAGAAGTGGGATCCAAGGCAGCTATTATCTCCCAGAGTTGTCTTTCTTGTGAGAGCTCTTTAGTTTGCCTACCAATGGCGTCAAAGCTTCCATGGCCTACTTCACAGGAAAATACATACACCAAAAAGTTTAGTGAAACAGGAATCTTTAGGAAACTGTGAGGCCAGGGAGATGGTTCAGCCAGTAAGATGCTCGTCACGCAATCATAGCGACCTGAGTTCAGATCCCTAGCACCCACATAAAAAGCTGGGCACAGCAGTGAGTACCTGGCCAGCTGGCCTACTCAGTCAGTGAGCTCAGGTTCAGTGAGAAGCCCTACCTGTCCCAAAAACTAGGGTGGAGAATGACTGAGGAAGAACGAACGTCAACCTCTGCTCTCCGTATAGGAACACACACAGAACTCGCAAGCGATGTGGGCCTGGGTGGTATGTCCCAACAAGACCTGCTTGGTCACACAGCCCAATAGGAGCAATATCATTCCTTATGGCCGGGTGTGGTGGTGCATGCCTTTGATCCCAGCACTCAGGAGGCAGAGGTAGGTAGATCTCTGTGAGTTCAAGGCCGGGCTGGTCCGACAGCCTCCAAAACAATACAGAGAAACCCTGTCTCGTAAAAACCAATATGGCTCTTGTCAAGTTCTAGGCTCAGCTGGAGGATCTGACCCTCAGGCCCCCAGGCCAGCATTGCTTCTCCACTGGGAAATTCAAGGCAAACAATGCCCTCAGCCACCAAGGTTGCCCTGCTGTGACCTGGGCTGCGTTGGGGGTCTCCATCACAGCCCACTGCAGGAACTGACCCTCCCATTCCTGGGTCCCCTACCTTCCTTCCCACTTCCCTGTTCCTGGACAACCTCTAAAGGCCCCTGTGTACAAGCTAATTCTAGTGCATTCTCCTCACAGTAGGCCAAAGAAACTGAAAGCCAAACAGGCAGCTCCCTTAGATAACCAGGTGGCAATCCCTGCCTCAGAGCTCTCCCCAGCCAATGAAGTGGTCTCTAAGCCAGATCTCTCAGCCCCATTCTGTCTGTACCCATAGCCTGTCACTGTTGGAGTACAGGCCTGTGTGCCGTGGTAAATACTTCACAGGAGGTAGGGAGGGCCTGTGACCGTGTGTGCTGCCACCTCAGCTATCATACTGCCGGAAGGAAGGAAGAGAACCGGGGTGCCTCCTGCAGTGACCAGACCACAGGCTCACCAAGTCCTTTCTTAGAGAAGCTGATCCTGCCCCTACCCCACCCCCACCGCAGCCACCACCACTCTGTACAACCCAAGGCAGGTGACTTAACTGCTGCAGTGAGAGCTGCAATTTATCCCCAAAGAGCTGTCAGCACCATCTGGGTCCCTGTCATCTTGTGTGCCCAGCCCCAAGCTCCTGCCAGGCAACTCAATATGGGGGGGGGGGGGAGTAAAGGGCAATAAATGGAACTGAAGTTGGGGGCTCTTGCGTGTCCTGGGGATTCGAGCACCACATAGAGCCCTGAGACTGTGTGGCTCTAAGGTCCTACCTCCATGTGCAACCTGGTCACTGCACCACTTCCAAAGTCTCCCTCCTATTTAAAACTGGGGCTAGAAGGGCTGGGGTGGTTGTGGAGAGGATCCTAGGAGACACATGCCACAGTCCTGGTGACTCTTAACACCTCTGGGCATCTGCCACAGTCAATCTACCTCTGTCACCTTGCCAGGAAGAAACGGCAGAGAGCTCAGGACTGGCCAGGAACCTGGTCTCCTGCATTCTCCTAGGCTTCCTAACCACCCTGCAACAGTGTGTGGAGGAAGCTGTGGAGAATGCAGTCCAGCCCACAAAGGCTTGTTGGTCCCAGAGCACTGGTTCAGCATCCCGGGTCCCTCCTGACGTACTCTGCAACCCTGTTCAGGAAATGGATAGACGGGCTGGGCAGTAGTGGTGGCAGAGTGGTGCACACTTTTAATCCCACTTGGGAAGCAGAGGCAGACAGATATCCGTGAGTTCCAGGACAGCCAGGACTGTTACAGAGTGGGGGGAGGGAGGGAGGGAAGAAGGGAGGAAGTAAGGAAGGAAGGAAGGAAGGAAGGAAGGAAGGAAGGAAGGAAGGAAGGAAGGAAGGAAGGAAATGGTAGACCACAGCCAGACTGACTGCACAACAGGAACACGTACCTCCCAACCTGGACTGAGGCACAGGTGCCCCCTGGTGGAACTGAATGGCCATGCATGTGGCCTAGGACAAAGAAAGCATTCCAGGCTTCAAGAAGCAGGTAAGGAAAACCAGAGAAGAAAATGCTAAAAAGCCAAGAAGTGGAGTGGGGGGGAATCAAGAGGTGGCCGTAGATCGAAGGTGCTCACTGCATAGACTAAGGCTGCAGAAGTCACCGCCCCACAAGCAGTCACATCTGTTCTCAAACTCATCAGAGCCGCCACGCACCAGGGAACTCATCAACATTTATTATGGCAATTACACAAACAAATAGGCAGTCATTCATCCAGTTCAGCAGCAGTTGACCACAGGCTCCATTAGTGATTCCTTTTTATAAATATCTTAGGAGAAGCAAGCAGAGTTGGAAATGCACCCGTGGGTAGCGGCCTGTGGGCACCAGAAGATGGGGTTCCTCCTGACCCCCAGCACCTTGACCCACCAGAGGCTGGGTACCCGGGCAGGGGATGTTTCAAGGCACATACAACTTCCTACCACGTGGTAGCTCCAGGGTCCACCCTGAGACCTGGTTCACATTTGGACCAGTCATACCGATGCATCACCTGCTGCAACCCCTTTGGTATAGTGTGGTCAGTCACTTTTATTACTAAGCAGGCTTTGGCCCCACCAAGCGCTGGGGCTGCGTTCACAATCCCTGCGTTTTACATTCTGGAGATGAGAGAGTGTAGAGAAACCGACCCCAATGTAGTGATGATGTCTGGGAGCACCATTGGGATGTTCCGTGAGGGCAGGTCTGTTATCTGTCTTGCAGGGACACTGGGGGCAGGAAGGAATCACATGAGGATAGGGGGGCTGCTAACAAACGAAGTTCAAGGCACTAAAGGAATGGAGGGACGGGTGGGTACACCTCAGAAAAAGTCAGCCAGAAGTGGAGGGCCCCAAGGAGAGAAAGGCGGCTGAGAGGTAACCCGGGTCCTCCACTCCAGCCAGGGGCTCCAGAGTGACCCAGGGACATCCAACCATGCAAGTGAGCCTGGGTTTCCCTTGGCGTTCCCCTGCTCTCTCACCATAAGCAGTGCTGCTGCTGTGGCTCCACCAGCACACAGAACACCCTTGCCTGACACTGGCACAGCAACTAAATTATGGCTTTTAAGACTCAAAGTCCCTGTTTTTTCCTGTGACTTCCTTTGACCCGGCTGTGGTAAATGAGATAGACCATCCTCAAATGGACAGAGCTGTGTCTCTCAGCATTTGACCTCACATGCCAAGTTCCAAGGGAGATCCTGTCTATCGCCACAGTCACTCTGCACTGGTTCGGACGACAGGGAGCAAGCTAGCTGTGCACAGACATAAACACACTTGCTCGTGCAAACACTGGAGAGCCCTGTGCTCCCACTAGGCTACCTCAGGATGTGCTGAGCTGGTCCCTGGCAGAAGGAGCTCCCAGAAGGACCCATGCTGCACTGTCCAGGACCTTTTAGGGGGCCTGTGTTCCCAACTCTGCAGGGAGCATCAGCCCCACTCCTAGTGTCAACCTCGAATCTCAGCAGATGGAGGCCAGAGACTATGATGCAGATGGAAGGAAGGTGACAGGGACCAGGGTTAGTATCTAGGCCAGGCAGGTCCTGGGGGATGAAAGCCATAGGGAGGGGTTGGCCCAGAAGGATATGGAGGTTGAGGGGGCACTGGAGGCTGTGGCTGTCCTGGGAAGCCAGGGGGCTGAGGCTGTGTTGGGTAGGGAGGTTTGCTTTGTGATGGGAGGTAGGGGGACTGCTGGGGATACCCAGCAGCAGGGGCTAGGCTTCCCACTAAGGGGTATCCTGGACCAGAAGTGCTAGCTGGGGCCACAGGATAGCCAGGTCGGGGTGGCACACTCCTCTGTGGAGGCCAAGAGTAGCCCATGGCAGCCCTGGGTCCTGGCTGAGGTGGTGGGTATGAAGGACCCCCGGGCCTACCATAGGAGGAAGGCTGGGCCACCACAGGGAAGGGGGCTGGCTGCAGGGCTCCCTGGGCTGTAGGGCCCACAGGCAGGCCTGGGGATGGGCTGTAGGGCAAAGGGTAGGGAGTCACAACAGAGGGCTGTGGAAGCTGTTCTTCAGTCACAGGGGGCGTTGCTTGGGGCACTGGGCGTGGAGGCGGAGGACGAGGTGGAGGAGCATCTCCAGCCAACTCTGGCAAAGCGCGGGGCCGCCTCACCACCTCCTGAAGCTTCTCTACACGAACTCGACGCAGGTGCAGCAGTGTCCTCATGGAGGAAAAGGACTCTAAGAACGTTTCCAAGGGCACCTCACCCTCCAGGAACTTCTCAGCCATGGCCTAGAGGACACAAAACCTGTTGACAACAGAGGCTTTCCACAGCCTTCCCTGGCCCCCACTCAGAGTGACTCCCTCACCAGAATGCCAACTGCTTAATGGCAGGACTACACCCTCCACGGTCACACTGTCCCCCTACCCAACACTGTGGGCCCTGGGGTGGCTGAGCCCGGAGTGCCCACAGAACCACCTGCAGGGCCTCTATGGTGGGCCCTGGGGTGGCTGAGCCCGGAGTGCCCACAGAACCACCTGCAGAGACTCTATGGTGGGCCCTGGGGTGGCTGAGCCCCAAGCACACAGAGGGCATGCCTCATGCCCGTCTGCCCCCTGGTGGTCACTGCAAGTCTGTTCACTAGCCGGGCCTACACAACTGACTTGATGGCTGGCTCCTGGGCTGCAGACCTGCAAGCTGCCTCCATCCAAAACACAAAGAAGTCTCTGCCCACTGAGACAAAAGGGACATCCAGAGGGAGGAGACAGCAGACACAGACAAGGAGCAGAGGCCTAACCTCAGATGCTTGGTGTCCTCTGTACCACCATCCAACCAGGTCTGCAAGTTCCCAGGCCTGCTGTCAGTCACCCATTCCTGGTTCGGCTGGGGTCCTGGTATAGTAATGTCCCCTTAACCATGGTTCCAGTTACTAGAGGTCCTCTGGTGGTCCAAAAACATTGCATGGAAAATTCTAGAAATCTGTAGACGGGGCAGTGGTGGCGCATGCCTTTAATCCTAGCACTCAGGAGGCAGTGGCAGGCAGATCTCTGTGAGTTCGAGGCCAGCCTGGTCTACAGGGCGAGTTCCAGGACAGCCTCCAAAGCCACAGAGAAAGAAACCCTGTCTTGAAAAAACAAAAAATAAATAACTAAATAAATAAATGAAGAAATAACCTGTTAGCTTTAAGTAGCTTTTATTATAAAATACTCTTTTAACTATTCTAGTATTAGTTACTGTGCATGTGTATGTATGTTTTCATGTGTGACTACACGTGTATGGGTGAACACACACATTTGTGCATGTGGAGGTAAGAGGCCAACATCAGTTGTCATTCCTCGGGATCTGTCCACCTCATTTCTTGAGACAGGGTCTCTGCTATAGGCTCAACAATTCAGCCGGGCTGCCTGCCAGTGAGCCCCAGGGATCTGCCTGTCTCCCGCCCCAGCACCGGGAAGACAAGACTACCTATACCTAGCCTGGCTGCTTACATGGGTGCAGAGGCTCACGCTCAGGTTGCCATGCTTGTGCAGCAAAACTTCATCAACCAGGCTATCTCCCCAGTCCGTGGTTACTGTTCTTAATCTCTCACTGAGCCTGCTTCATAAACTACACTTTATCACGGACACATAGGCCCAGGAAAAACGCACTGTCTATTCAAATGAGTGTTAGTTGTGGTTTCAAGTGCTCAGCAGGGGTCTTGGAACGTGTGCCTGTCCTGGATTATAACCAGTGTTCCACTGCTACTCCACCTATCCTAGCTACGCTCCAAACCTCTGTGCTTTGTGGTTCCTGACCCACCGTGACCGGGCTCCAAGGGCGACCACCCTGTTCAAGGGAGGAGGGTGCCGCTCCCCATCTCACCTCAGATTCCTCCTCGATCTTCATGCCTTCGATCTGCAGAAGGTCCAGCAAGGTCGCGGGCTGCAGCGCTGAGGAAAATTTCTCTGGAAGGAAGAGCAGATAGGTGGATATTTCAAAAGCACTGCTTTAGTTAAAGCTGAGGACCCCAATTTCAGGAAAGGCATGAGGCACGCCCTCTGTATGCTTGGGGCTCAGCCACCCCAGGGCCCACCATAGAGCTCCTACAGCTGGTTCTGTGGGGTCCTTTTGATTCCTGTAGGCCTTTGCTGTCATGAGTAAAGAGGAGGTGAGGACTGAGCCTAAGTCTTGGCCAAGTAGCTCCCTATAGGCACAACCACCCAGGAAGCCCTCCTACCTCCACAAGGCCAAGACCAGCTCTGCAAGGCTCGGGGCTAAGATGGCTAAGTTGGCAGAGGCAGTCAAAGACACAGCTGCCTGCATTCATATATCAATTCCAGAACTAGAGAGATGCTCAGCTGTTAAAGGCTAGGCTTGCAAATCCCAACTCCACCCAGCTCTAGAGGCATGGCCTCAGGCAAGCCTCTGACTCTCTCCAGGCCTTGTTTTCCTCATCTATAAAAAAAGATTTGGGCCACTTTAAAAACATACACACACACACACATACACACACACACACACACACACACACACACACACACACACACACACACACTTCACCAAGGTATACAATAAAACATAAATACTCAAAAATGTAGACTAACCACGGTACGTACATCTCTCCACACTGTTGTGCAGAAACACGCGAAGCACTTTGCCCTGAGTGGGGAACACAGTGGGCTACCGTGGTGCTGGCCCTTTCCTGTCCTGGGCATCTACGCTTCCATGTTACTCCAGCTGCCACCCTGTCCTTACTAGAACAGGAACCCTGTGTCAGTCGGCAGGGGAGATACCCAGAGGACAAGTCCACAGTCCAACTGTTCCTACCCAGCTTGGCTTTCTGTTCCTGGCACCGCTCCACAAGCTTCCGCAGCTCCTGGTATTTGTCTGAAAGGTTTGAGCGACTGATTTCCAGGGGACCCTGGAACTCCAAGTTCTGCTCTGCCAGGCTTCGGTTGGTGGCTAGTGCCATCTCTCGTTCTAACTGCAGGTCCTGAACCTAAGGGAAGCAGGACAATTGACAATAAGCATAACTGTCATTGGTCACACTCTGGCACGGGGGAAGGAAGAGCCTGGATTCAGTGTTCACTTGGACATACCAGCTTGGTACTCAGCCCTCAACCACAGCCACAGGAGCCTGGGTTTAAATCCACACACTGTGACCCAGGGGCCTCACCGCATCCCAATCAAAGGAGCCCGTGAGGCTGACACATGAAAAACAGGCACCAAGACCAGGCACCTACCCAAGGCCTCCCAGTGGACAAGCACCTGCAGGGCTCTGTGCTGGGCGGGGCACAGGTAAGGAAGGAGATCCACTCCTGAAGGGGGGATGGGACCCAGGTCCCAACCGTTGGGCCCCAAGAAGCTCACTTCTTCAAAGTGAGAAGACATGCGAACACACATGCTGCGCATACATGCACACAAAGAGGCTGCCAGGGAGAACTCCGGTGGCTCAGGCCAGACCACAAGCTAGAAACGCCATGAGGTCAGAAGGCACTGGGGAGGGGGTGCAAGCAGGGCCCTGGGGCAGTCCAAGACTCTGGGGCAAGACAGACATCCCTGCCTCCCAGGTCATACATGGTCTACAGAGCTACAGACACTCTCTGATTGGCCTCTGCTGAAAATGCTTCCCTAGCCAGCATCACTGAGACCTCATTCAGGCCCTACTTAAATCCCAGGCAGGGAGAAGCCTTGGAACCTTGCCCAGCAGGCCTAACATAGGGAAGTTTCTGCTTCCCTCAGAGGAGAGCCGGAGACCGGCCACCATCCCATCACAATACCATGTGCCACCAGCAGAGGGGGCTCAGTACTAGTCATGGAAAACAAGGAACATATTAGCAAGACCAGCTTCCATAAGGGAGCAAAGGGTCCTGCAGTACGGAACCTCTCCACCTTGGCCAGCACAAGGCACACCAGGCCAAACAGGCTTACTCTGCAGCAGTCACAGGAAGCCAGGCAGCATCCTGGATAAGGGGTTTCCAGAAACGCCCTGTTTAATCACTGGACAAGCTCACTGGCATTGGAGCAGAGAAACTGGTGAGTTTGAATGTTAGCCAAGAGGGTTGGAGGATGGCTCAGCAGTTAAGAACATACACTGCAGCTAGAGGGCCTGAGTTTGGTTCCCAGGACCCATGTCAAGTGGCTCATACCACCCGCCACTTCAGCTCCAGGGGATCCAATGGACTCTTCTGGCCTCTCGCACAATCTACATACACACATCTATACACAAAACAAAAGATATAGTGTGTAAAAGAAAAGCCCTGGGGCACTTGTGCTCACTGTGTGGTCGACTGAGTGGGGCCCTTCCTGGGCCACATACCCTTGGGCATCCTCACCTCCATCCATGGTTTTCCCTGGGTCTGAAGCTCTACACCCCCGCCATGCCACCCTCTCTAAAGCTCGACTACGCGTTTCCATTTCTCCCTCCGAGGCCAGCCAAGTCCCACAGCTCCCGGCGCTCAGGGTGAAGCCCACGCTCACTCTCTGGCACACAGAGGGACGTCCCACCACATTTCTCGGCCGCCCGTCTTCTCACTGCCCCACGGTGACACAATTGCCTCCTTACCACCAGCCGAGAGCTTTCTGAAAATCTAAGTAGTTTGCCCTACTTTGCTTCTGTGTATCTCACAGTGAGGATTTTCCCCCTCCGAGAATTCAACTCAACTCTTCAGACATGGCTACACCACCAAGTTCAATCTGCCCTTTGGTCAGGAGGCCGCATCCCATACGAGTCCAGGCGCCCATGCTTCCCCAGAGGGCGAAGGCTTGCTCAGCTTGGAAGCAGTGAAGGAGAACTGAGTACAGACTTGCTATTGCTGAACTGCACTCGCTTCAGGAATGAGCCTGGAATTTCCCTTAACATTCTGACTGAAAACACTCTTGGAGCCAACAAGATGGTTCGGTGGGTAAAAGTATTTGCTTGTAAGCCTGACTGACCTGAGTTTGAGCCCTTGGCTCCCAATGGTGGGAGAAAACCAACTCCTGAAAGTTGTCCTCTGACCCCCACACTTGTGATGTGGCTTGCATGCCCACATATGTGTGAGCACAGAATCAGGACAAAATAAAGAGATCCTTGGAATTGGATGGCTAAGCATCCCTAACCCAGCAACCCAAAATCTAAGATGCAGACCTGGGTACGGGCCAGATAGCATGTGCATCTGTGGACAGGAGAAGGAATCCAGGGACACTGGGGGGGGGGACACCAGATGGCAACTTCCTGTTCTTTAACAGTGAATTCACAGGACACATGCCACCGCTCACCAGGGACAAGAACGGCACATGTGAGTGCCAATCAGAGCCCAGCATTATCTGTGGGACAGCACTTCCAGAACAATGACTAGCTGCAGCCACTCTGGGGATGCCTGTGGGCATTTCTGTGGCCACAACCAGTCACCTGACCTCCATCTCACAGGAAGGTCACAGGAGATGGTGACAGGGAGGGCCAAGTCCAGCTCAGTAGAGACAGCAGGGCTGTACTTACTCCTGTGAGGACCCTGTGACGAGGAGCTGAGAGATGGGGTGCTGGCTGCAATGAGCGATATCCCAGCCAAGGATAATCTCTTCAAGTCCAAGAGTCATATGAGGACACGGGATCCTACAGGTCAAAGGGATGAATGGGTACCCCCTCCTCAGTATATCAGGGAGCTGCCTCTAGACTCAGGCTGGAGCAGTGCGAAGACTCCTGGGCCATCTGGGTCCCTGGCTGTCATAGTCCAAGGTAGGGTCCTGGACTCCTACCACTCCCGGGCTCCCAGAGGATCCAGCCCTGGCCTGAAACCTCAGGGCTCCTCTAATGAGATAAGCCAAGGTAAAATTCACAGAACAGCAAGGTGAACCCTGGCCCAAGCTCCTATTAACCAAGCATCCTTCAGAAGCATGTTAGGGTAAGTGGGATGCCTCAGTGAGTAAGGGCTCTTGTCACCAAGCTGACAAAGTGAATTCAATCTGACACCCATAAGAGAATAATTTTTTGCATGTTGTACCAGGCGTATGAGCACACATGTGCTCTCTCTCTCTCTCTCTCTCTCTCCCTCCCTCCCTCTCTCTCTCTCTCTCTCTCCCTCTCCCTCTCCCTCTCCCTCCCTCCCTCCCTCCCTCCCTCCCTCCCTCCCTCCCTCCCTCCCTCCCTCTCTCTCTCTCTCTCTCTCTCTCTCTCTAAATGTAATGAAATTTTAAAAAGACCTTAAGTGGGTCTGGCTATATGGCTCACAGTTAAAAGCACTGACTGCGCTTACAGAGGACCAGGGTTCAATTCCTAGCACCCACATGGCAGCTCATAGTAACTCCTGTTCCAGGGGATCCAACATTTCAGATGACCTCTATGGGTGCCTGCACACACTTGGTGCACATATATACATCAGGCACACACAAACAGACATAATTTATTTATAAGTAAATACATTTGCTGAGGGCATTAAGTGACAAATTACTTTTAAAAAACAAAAAAGAGGAAGAGAAGGAGAAAGAGGAAGGAGAAGAGGAGGAGGAAGAGGAAGGGGGAACAGCAACAGCAGCCTTTCCCAGCCTCCCTGTACCTCAGGAGACTCCAGGGCCAGCCGGGCAATGGCTTCTGGGTCATTCTGCATCTCCTCCAGCTCCTGCAGGGTCTTGTCTTTCAGCCCCTCCATCTTCCCTGTAAACACAAAGCAACACCCAGTTTGAGGAAAAGTCACGAGGAGTCACTCTACAGGAGGCGCCCAAGGAGATATGAGGGTCCCTGTGAACGAACACAGTCCTAGAGTCCGGGTCATTTCTCCCCGGCAAACCGGCACAGACGAGAGATCTGTGTGAGCTACTTGGCAGCCCGAGCACTAGATGGTATGGAGCTAACAGGAAAAGGCAGGAAAGGGGCCAGGCAAGAGAGGGGACACAGAATTTGGCCCCAGGCCTTGGTACAGGACTTTTGTCCGAGCCTGATTTAAACACTCCTTCTTCCCACCCATCCCCCCCCAACTAAAGGGCTTTACAGCCCTCAACACCACAGGTCCAACTATGTCCCTGCTTGCTATAGTTAGTGTTCTAGCAACTTCAGGTCTCCCTAAGTTTTCTACAGCTGCAACTGCAGCCCTCTCCATGTGTCACAAAAGCAAACTGTCACATGTATGTCCTCACGGGGGGCGCGCGTCATGAAACCACCTTCCTGGGTAGTCATACTGGAAAGGCAGTAACTGACCCACACAGGTTGCTGACAGAGCTGGAGTCAGTTGTCCTCCCTTGTCACTGTCCCAAAGATCGTCCATCTGTCATCTGTGTGACAAGTCACAGCCTGGCCTGAGGGAAAGTTCAGGGGCAGCCTGGGGGACACAAACACAAGTCACAGCCTGGCTTGGGGAACACAAACACACCCTTTCTTTCTGCTGATAGGAACCTCCATATTTAGATTCTCTCATCCTTCCTACATATGGGTTTTAGAGCATTCATGTTGAGTGCTCTCATTATAAAGGTTGCCATTTCCAGAAAATTCTAGCTCCGAGGAGATCAAGGGCCCTCTCCCCTCCTTTTTTAGAGCTTGCCTGGAGGTCATGCTGATGACTCAGCCAAGAAGGCATTTGGAAATTAAGAACCAAGGTAACAGACATCCTTCTCTGGACCTCAATTGTCCCCTCCATGATGGGAAGGGAATCGCATCCCTAAGTAATAAGCAATGATGACAAGGCTCCCTTTGTCAAGGTCCTCAACCTGGTTTAGGCCAGACCTGTCTCCTTTCATGTTCCAAGTGTTCTGGTTTAAGGAACAAAGGACATGGTCACCCCACTATTGAAGAGCGTCTTAAGTGGGGCAACACCATTAGCCATCATCTCCCAAGGGCTCCACACTGCCCAGCCTCTAAACAAACATGGAAATTCATCACGAGTGCCTCAGCACCAGTGAGCTGGGGCAGAGCCCAGAAGCCCACAGTCAGTCCTGGGGACATGGATGCAACTGGTCTAAGAAAGGCTAACTCCACACTAATCACATCATGCAGGAGACAACAGATTCTGAGCAGCCACAGTGCGACCTACACCGTCTCACCCAGGCACTTGGATCCCAGAACCCATGCAAATGCAGGTTTGGCATGGCGGCTGGCCTGTGCTCTAAAGATAAGAGTCAGGGATTTAGAAGCCAGCTGGCTAGCCAGACTCGCCCTAGAGGCAAGCTCTGGTTTAACAGAGAGACCCTGCCACAATGAATGAGGTGGAGAGGAAGGAAGGTAAAGGAAAACTTTCAACACCAACCTTGGAACTACACCCACATAAGCATGCACCCACATGTGCATCCACACGTGTATGAACGAACACACACACCACATGCACACACAAATACCTGTGAGAGAAAAAAGGGGAATTCTTATACAGAAATTCTTTATAACAAGAAGACCCAAAGTAAGGGAATCAAAGTTCCATCCTAAACTGTGTGTATACCTCACACTATTACCCAAAACCCTGAGTCTAGAAGCCAGAACAGAGAAGCAGCGACCCTGGGTTGGACCATAGCTCTGAGGAGAAATAATACTGTTCCGCCAAAACCCAAGTGTGCCTGTGGGAAAAAGGAACAGTGCTTTAAAGATCCTGAGACTGATGAGGCATGGTGGCACATAATCCCAGCACTTGGAAAACGGACATCAGGAGTTCAAGACCACCCTGACTATGAAGAACTCAAAAAAAAAAAAAAAAAGAAAAAAAATCACAAAAGGGCTGAGGATGTAGTTCAGCTTGTAGAGTACATGTCGAGGAAGCACACACCCTTGGCTCCATCCCTAACACAGTACAAAGTCAGGCATGGTGATGCACACATCCGAAACCACAGTAGTCCAGAGAGGCAGAAACCAGAGGGTCAGGAGTTCAAGGCCAGCATGGGCTACATAGTGAGTTCAAGTCCAGTCTCAAAAATATAAAATATAAATCTACTCAGACACATGTAGTACAGATTTAGTAACACAGGTCTACCACAAGACCAGTTTTTCCACTTGTGAGCTATGTCCTCACCCACGGGGAAGCTCCTGGAACATCAGGTTCTTCATCTGTAAAACAAACCAAATGACAGCCCCTCTCTCCCAGGCTCAGTGACACCATGCACAAGATCAATGTCCAGCACAAGATTAAATGCTGGCCAAAGATTTCGACACCATACAAATTGTCCAGCGTCGTGGTGGCCTCCAGTGTGGCTCAGACAAGAGCTCGCTGGGCCGGCCACAATGGCAGCACTTAGCATGGCCCCACCCACCAAGCCCAGTATCTGCGGCTCTTGCATTCAGGGCCAAGTGCACTAGACACTGGGGGCCCAGGATGCAGCTGGCTAACCACACACAAACAGCTGGCCAGCGGTGCACCTGTAGCAACCCCAGCAGTGCCAGGACCTCTCCCCACAGAGACGTCCATTCAGCAGAGACCTGAGCAGAGCTGAGCGTTCCTGAGGCAGTCTTCTGATGTTTTGCTTTGGCATGCTTGCTCTGCTCCAGGAGTGTGACAAAAACCAAACCCAAAATGGAGAGAGATCACAAGCCCACAAGAGCAGCGCACTGCTTACTCCATGGCTGCTCTTCCTGCCTCTTAGCCAGAGATGGCTCTCCCTGATCCAGGAGGCACAGATTGCTCTGTGAGAATCCTCACAGCATCACCACTGGATGTTACAGGGGCTGTTCTCTCACAAGTCAGATAGTACCTGCCTTTCAGACACCCAGAGAGCCTGAGAGCCACAAGCACTGGCTCAGGGCCACCATTGGAAAAGATAAGAAGGGGAAACCACTGAAGGCCCACAGAGCAGCCATCCAAAACTGTGGCCCTGAGGCCTGGGCCTCTGCTGCTAGCAACATGGCAGACAGATTCTCAGAGTGACCAAAACCACCAGGGGTGTCACAGGGGAGAGAAGCAGGGTTGGTGACACATTATTTAGGGAACAAGTCCTTGGGCTTTTGTGTCTAGAGAGCTGGCACGTCCAATTTCCTCAGTCCTTGGTGCCAGGGCTCTGATACCGACTTTCCCTCCCATGACCACTATGGCAGAGATGCCGGGTGATTCCCTGGGGACAGCACAGTGGACAGCTGGGGGAGGGGAAGCGGGGGCAATGTGAGAACGGGTAAGGCCATGAGCATTCATCTTTGTTTTCTAGCACAGACCTGCTCACAGGCAATCCAGGAAGAGCCTAGGAAGGGCAGAGGGAGGAAGGGAAACATCGGGTCAGCCAGATGGTGGACAAGTTCAAGGTGCAGAGGCAGAGCAGCCCATCCTCCCACTGGCTCAAGCCTTCCTTCGTGTCTTCATCCCTTTTGGAATAGGCATCATTAAGCAACTACTATATATGCTGTCCCACATCACAGCAGAAGGAAGTACATAAACATGTTGGATTTTATGAGCCTGGCCCAGCAGACACGTTAAAAAACAACGCACCTTTCTTCCTGTTTGCTCCTAAATGCCTTTTTAAAAGCCGTAGGCCATTGTGAACACAGGTGAAGAAGCATGAGGCGTGGGTCAGCGGAGCAAGGTGGTGACAGGGAGGAGGGACAGCTTGGAGCTGAACGCCAGAGAGGTGCCCATGCTGAGAGGCTCCTGTGGGGGCCACTATGGATCCTACCAGGGGAGCTGGCAGCTGGGGAGGCAGCTGCACAGCAGTCACGGGTACAGTAGGATAACAGGTCTTATGGAGGTGACAATGACACCTCAGAGGTGACCAGGGCACCAGTGAGGCGAGAAAGTAAGGCGGGAGCCAGGCTGCTCTTCTTCACAGTAAGGGGAAATGGATCCCTGGTGTGGCTGAGAAGGGAAAGGGCTTGATTTTGCTTTCCCTCACCCCCAGTCTATGCCTTTTCCTTTCCTTTCCTTTTCTTTTTTTTTTTTTTGTTTTGTTTTGTTTTGTTTTGTTTGTTTGCTTGCTTGTTTTTTGAGACAGGGTTTCTCTGTGGCTTTGGAGGCTGTCTTGGAACTTGCTCTTGTAGACCAGGCTGGCCTCGAACTCACAGAGATCCGCCTGCCTCTGCCTCCAAGTGCTGGGATTAAAGGCGTGCGCCACCAACGCCCAGCTTTTTTTTTTTTTAACTTTTGCCTCCGCTGCTTTTTTTTTTTTAACCTTCACCAGAGATCACAACTACAGCCAGGTGTGAAGGCCAGGCCTACAAGTCCTAGGCCAAGCATGGAGAGAGGACCTTGAGCCCAGTAAAGCCATAGAATCTGACCCCACACCGGACCCCCCCCCGCAGGAAAGCGTGACAGCTGTGCCAGGCCTGCCAGCTCCCCAGGCAAGCTACAAGGCCCAGTCTAGAAGCAAGGCCACATTTGGAGTGGGCCACAAAACCCAGGGGCTTTGGTCTGTAACACTGTGCCCTTCGGTGCCCACACACACGGGAACACGTCACAGAAAAGTGGGACAATGGGAAAGCAGAGGGACAAAAGCAGGAAGGCCTAAACCATGTCACATGCTCTGATGCTCAGAGTGTATGGATGGGAACACAGAGTGAAGAATTCGAGGCCCAGGAGGCTGCGTTCCCCGGTGGCCTTGGTCTTGGAGTCCACTGCTGGCCACCAGCCCTGTTGCCGGCTTCACCTTCTTTCATGGCCTCATACCTTGACAAAAACCACTCGGCACGCTGTGAACATCGGTGACACACTATGGCCCAGATAGGAAAGCCAGAAGCCAGATTAGAACCAGTGGATTTAGGCCAACTTGGGTGTTATTTGTGGCCACATCCCAGCAGAGGCAGCTGAAGAGCTGCTCAAGGAGAAGGCACAGGAGTGCTGGGTAGGCCCAAGAGATATGTTCCCAACAGCGGCACCACACAACACCTGGGACCCTCACCCCAGGAGCTCTGCTGTGACCACTCAGCACAAAGACACAGTTGTAAGCAACCCGAGGTCCTCTCTGAACAAACTGAAGGCAGGGAACCAAAATGGACCATGGAGACCATGCGGCAGGGCTGACATGCTTATCTGCACCCTCCGCTCTAACAGCTTCATGCCACTTTGCTGACTCGGAGAAAAGCAGGACTGGGGACAGCTGGCCTGGGGCCCCGCTTCATTCCACCAGTCTTTACTGCGTGGGCTCCATCAAGGCCTGAACCTCAGGTTCCCTAGCTGAAAAATGGGCAGACACATATTAACCCCCTTGGGCTCACTCTGCCTCTTGGAGGTGCTATACTGGTCTATGGGCAATTACTGAAGGCCTGAAGCAAGAGAAGCAAAACACTACCACCACTGAATCCTAACTCATTCCTGTGATAAGGCTCTGCCGGCCCAGCTTGCAGCCTCCCCTCACCACGGCCAGCCATCATTCCCTGCCAGCCTGCTATCATACGGCAAGGAGAGCTTATGCTCCTCAGCGCCTC